CGCACGAGAAAGAATACACAGGGCACGGAGAATGCACCAACTCACTGCGCGATGAACATGGATTCTGGTATCATGAATGACTAAGTATGCAAAAGACCATTTACCCCCTGTTTGACAAGCCTTCCTCCTCTACTGCAGCAGCAGAGCTTCCTCGTGTAAAACTCCATACAGGGCTTCAATCTCGGCCCTCACCTTGTTTAATTCAGCTGCCACTTGTAGCGTAACGAGTGTGTATGCGTACAGCAAAGCATAGTCACTCTCTTGAACAATCAGAGGGGACTCGTCGCCCAAGAGATCCGTACTCATATGCTCCTTGCGGAATTGGTAGATTTTCCCTAAGAGTCGGTCCTTGTTGTTCTCAACCGTAGGGATGGCATCAGTCAAGGGGTATTCAAGCATAAGGCACGACGCGATAACTTGAAAGACGTGACATATGCGCTGGCAAAGGAGAGCTCTCTCAGTGCTTGTGTACTCTAGCAATGCCCGCTCGCCTTCTGTTAATTGATTTCGTTTCGATGTGATGAGACGCATCGCATAGAAACCATTGAGCATGTTTTTGGTGGAACGCATAATGCGCCCATAAGCTGCGTCTGGAAATGGACCGCGAAGCTCAAATTCAGACTTCGCAGCCGTTCGCAGGCTCGCAAGTTTGAAGGCTGTCACAGAGTCAGCGTGATTAAGAAAGACGTGGCAGTGAGTGCCTACCATATCGTTGAAGAGCCGCCTGTTCGCCCTCGCGCATGTAGTCAAGCGTGTTATTATGTGTGCTGTCCTTAGTGAGCGACACAGTAAGAGGGCCACGCTTCCATATGAGACCCATCTGGAGATACAAGACAGAAAGTCCTTCACGGAACTTCTTTCGACCAGAAATCGGCCAGAGGACTCGGCAAACAACAATACCCCAAAGGATGCCTAGGGTGACCGCAACAACTCGATGCCAGGCAATGTCCAAAATCAGGGGGTTGGACCCTCCCTCGTCATCGTCATCATCATCAACATCTTGCGAAATGCTGTAGGCATAAAGGGTGCTCACGTTGTATGCCAACAAAGCAATTCTACCCAGCGGAGCCTTTTTGATGACCAGAATCACGTAGAAGTTGAACAAAGCTACAAGGCCACCCAGAAACACCAGTGCAATGCCATTACCTTGGCTGACAGTCCAGCACACCACGGCAAAGGCTGCACCAATGAGGGTGCCTTTGAATCTGGCAGTTCCAGTCGTATTCGCTGAGCCAGTTGTCATAGCCGCCACGATCATGAAGGAAAGGAGGCCCCATTCACCTCTCCATGTCTGGTAAATAGGTCTTGTGCTTGGTATAAAAGCAAGCATGGCCCAGAGAAGAGCACCAATACCAACTTTGATACCAAAAAGTATGTCCTCCCGTACGATAAATCGGGAAATCTTGAGCATTTTCTGAGCAACTCTTCTTTTGACTCTGCTAGATTGTGGGGCAGCATCCCAGTTGAAGGTATCTCGCCGTGCGACCATTGTATCTGGAATACCTTTGGGCATCTGAGATTTCCGCAATCTCGGCACAGGTGGTTTCTGTATCAAGCTCTCACGTTCCGGATCTTCAACCCTATCTTTGTCTGAAGGTCCAGTCCGGCCGAAGTACCTCCAAAATTTGAGCCAACTCCATGAACGCGGCGCCGTCTCAGTCGTGTACCTGATGTCCTCTAGAACATCCAAATATGCATCAGTCTCTTCAGCTACAGCTTGTAAACTGAAGGAGAAATGCCCACAGGCTGCAGCAACTTCTTCTATATCCGCTTGGATTTTCTCAGATCTAGCACGTCCGATCTGAATGGTACGGTAAAGCTCCTGTAATGACTCTGACCTTGCATTATTGTAAAGATTCAGAGCATCGCGAAGGCTCTCCCTCAACTGTTCGTTCACCGCGATATCTTTGTTCGGATCCTGTCCAAATGCAGGCTCACGCAGGATTTCTGATAGCGTATGAGCCAGCGACTTGATTGACGGGCCAAGCATGTTGATGAAAAGGGCAAAGATGTCGGAAGGCTCCTGAAAAGCGGGAGCTGCGTCTAGAGCGGTGTCCGATTTGTTTCTCGCCGCCAGTCGTTCTTCCTCGCTCTCTCCAGATTCATCGATGTCAGATAATATTTGACCTCCACCATCAATATATGCAGAAATGGCCCGATTCAAGGTGGATGTCATTCCTGTGGGCTTCGGTGAAGGGAAGGTATCTTCCAGGTTGGGAACCTCTCTGAGTAAAGTGAATTGGTTTTCGAGTGCACTTCGCAGTCCTCCTATGGCTTGGGAGAGCGCCTCAACTGATCTTGAAAGACGTTTATCAAGCGGATAAAAGGTTTCTCGGCCCAGGAAGAAGTACTCGAATTTGGCTTCTCGGAGTGTTGAGCTCATAGTTGTGTATGCGCTGTTGTACCGGGCAGAGACTCGGCCATATTCGCTTGTCCAGAATTCATCTTCCGTTCCACTGAGAAATCCTTTTGTAATGGATGATAATTTGTCGCCTAGAGAGCTGGTGGCGGTCATGATGGACCTACGAAGCACACGCCTCGCCGAGATTCTCCAGACTAATACATTAACTGTTAAAGTGCAGGTGATGCCAACAAGAAGCAATTTTAAGACCTGGACGATCTTGTCGTCGTCAAAGTAGCCTCCTTGTACGCCCTCCTCTTTGGTGATTACAGATATGATTGCGATCGATGCCAGGGTTGAGCCGACGTTAACAAGGGGGCTGTTGAGTCTTTGCTTTACCCAACCCACAAAGCCCAGTCCTCCTCCGATGCAGATAATGAGGATCAGCACGTGAGCAGCGGCAGTCAAGCCGAGTTGAGATCTCATGGCAATTGCAATTCCCATCGACAGCATCGATATGACCTCCGCGTAAAATACAGCAACGACTGCTATAACAGTTGCCTCAAGCATAGAGCCAACGGTTCGTGCTGGGTGAAAGTAAACGGTAATGGTAGCAGAGACATGCTTTCCATCTCTGTTGCCAAGAAAGGCTGTCAAGGGTGGGAAAAAAGTACCCATACTACCAAGTACGTAGGCAAGTGTACACTTGAGAACTCCGTGGCCTTCTTCAGTATGTAGCCACAGCCATATCAAGATAAATGCAGTCTTGATGTTATGTGCGACAATGTGGACGCGGTCACCGAAGGATTCAGCGGCCTCGAAGGATTGATACTTCGGTTTGTTGTTGATATCCTCTGCAACTACTGCGTTGGTAGATGTGCTTAACGAGAATTCTGACCTCGATCGTTCGCCAGTCCTGGGGATGATAAAGGTTCCGTTCTTCAATTTCTGCCCGATGCATCAGATATCTACCCATTTCTCGCCGTCATGCATGCAGGAAATTATAGAGCGAGTGACTTCGTACCGTTCGCTGGGATGGCCGCTGTTTAGGCGGCCATGCCAGGTTGGATGAGCCTGTGGCGGAGCTCATGGTTGGTTGTTTTGATGGTACTCGTGTCTGGAGTGGTGAGACGATTGTGAGGCGCGATTCATTCTCCTAGTCTTAAAGCTCCATAAGAACAGTGGCGCTGGTCTCCAAGTGTCAGCCTTTTGAGGGGAATAGGCTGTCACGGTCGTGATTTCTGATGCTTCTCCTCCTGGGTGGATCAATTAGAAAGGTCAGGAACGGGTGTTGTAGGTGTAAAATCGAACATAATGGAAAGCAATGCAGCTTACGGAGTATTATGGTCTTGAAAATAAGGATGACGCTGAGCATGCATGCACCCCGGGCAGCTAGTGTGGGGCTTCGATCAGCTATCGAGACGACCTCGTATTGGCTGTACCCCTAGCTACCTACCTAAGGTAGCTAGGGGAGGAAAGAAAACTCACGACCCTTAATCCTCAATGACAAAAGGACTTAGGGAACTTTACATAAGTTTTAGGGTATCTTTTGCTGAGTTTGTTTTGACGCCTCCTATCAAGGCCCGGTGTTTTCTTGCCCCCCGAGGGGGTAGGTACCTACCTAACTTCCATTGCCTTAGGTGCTGGCGGGAGTAGTTTAATTAGGTGCCTGTTACGGCTTCAAAAGAGAATGGAATGGATGGCAGATGTTCCAAGCTCTTTCTTCACTGACACTTATAAGGTTTTCGTAGTTGTAGATGGGAAAATTAGCATTATTTAGAGGCAAGCATCTCGTGCTTTCCCTCCCATACCAAGTTTTCACATGAACAATAATGTGCGAAGATTGTCTGTTTTATTATTAAAAGGAAATAGTCTAGATTTTTCCGTGACTTGCTATAAAAAAAAACACTCTTAGAGAGATCTCTTAGCCTAATGCCCAGTGGGGCTATGCACACTTTCCGGCTGCGCCCGTTGCTTAAACGCGGGCTGGCGGGACAAGCATGGGATCTTGAGGGGAACAAGGGCCAAACACTTCCATCCAGTCATCCAAGCTCGTGGCTAGGTACGCACTAGATATAGTCGCAAGATCATCAGGAACGGGACAATAGTTTCAGAGACCTAGCACGCCTATGGATTTGGTAGAAACTAAGCAGGCAAACCCGTAACACCACTGTCGCTTGTGTTTTTTTTGTTTCCTCGTGCGACTCGAAACTCGACCCTTTCACAATGGCCATAGATTTGGTCCCAATCATTGATCCAATGGAATAAGCACGATCCGCATCCGCTCCTCGCACCGAAAACGTTCAACTCGACTAGTTGGGATGTTTCGTCTGTCTCGTCGTAAAACACATCGAACGACAGCCCCTGCTTTAAAAGCAGCTGATCCAGCCCGTCGTCTGGATCCAGATCATGTAGGATTGATTTGTGAATCGTTTGGATTCCCTCCCAGATTTGATCCACTACTCTTGTCTGGTTTTCGTGCTCTTCACAGTCAAAGAGCCATGGCTTGTGCCAACAGTATTGACTTACTGCGGAGATGGCTCCGGTCTCGGGTGCACAGTAGACTCGGTATTCCCTTTCGCTCCCCATACGTTTATTGAATGGAAGAAAGGTTCAGTCGACAGTCGGACTCCCCCCTTCAAGACTCTTCGATATTTCATTACGTGCTCGCTGTGATGTGATCAAGCGAATAATTATATCCATTGGGGAGTGAAGAGACAGCCTACCCGGTACGGCTTGGCGACCATCTTTAGGTGAACAACGATCCAAACGCATGAAGAGACCTTCGGCAGGGAAGTCGAGAGACGATAGATGCGGGATGATTTCTTCCTGGATGTCTTCTTGATATGCTCGGTTGTGTTCCCTAGTGATGATCGAGGTGCCTGATGCTGCTACGACGAGCCTGCCCTCTGCTCGTGTAAGCTTGACAACTTGTGCAGCTTTTGCATCGAGGTTTCGTGTTCTTAGAACCAGGGGTAGCCATCGCTCGAAGGAGTAAGGTGCTTCTGATGGACGTGAAAGATGATTCGTGCTCTCATGTGCTGGAATTTCTTCGACGGTATGAAAGTAGGTGTTGAACGTTGTAGGCGGTACATTCTGAGAGTCTGATTCGACCTCCTCGTAGTTGGTTTGTGTGAGATGCATGTTTTTCGTTGCATTTCCGTCCATAGTCCATTGATCACAAAAGAGAGTGATCCTGCGGAGAAGGAATTTTGTTTTGTTTTTGGAATGAAAATAGGTTCACTTGCGAGGTGAATTATCGGTGGTACACCCACCATCCAGCGGCAGCACGCCACTTCGACAAACCCACAGAGCAAATCTAGCGTTTAACTATAAGCAAACTTCACCTCATCTCTGAGATTGAGGGTCATATTCCCAACGTGCATTTAAGCAGACTTTACTATCAGTATTATTGCACTTAATTCTTCATTTAAAGCCCACCATAAAGAACATGGACCTCCCTGAGCTCGACTTACAAGGAGCACCTATCCGCACTCCGGATTGTTGTCTAAGCCTTTCCTACAAATTATTCCGGAACCTAGTCAACGCAATCCCCAACACCACGCTTTCGTTGAACCATGCCAAAAGTCTGAGAACCCCTTCTCCAAGGCAAGGTGTTCTTGGTGAATGACTAACTAATAGCTTCTAGGAGAAACGCCAACTGTGCTTTCGATCGGAAGCGGATCCGGGCTACTGGAAGCTCTTTTCCTTGCTTATCTCAACTCGCAATGCCAACGCAGTGGCTTTGATCATGCTTCAGTTAACATTGAAGGAGTTGAAGTTCAGCAACTTGGTATGAGAGACCATGTCAACAGCTATCTTCCGGAACAAGCCATACACACCGTTCGTGGTAGTTGGGATGTCACTTCGAGGCTGCAGGATTCAGATGTGACAGCTCTGATGTTCGTTTATCCACGCCAACCTGCTTTGATCTCGCAATATATCAAGTCCATCGCTGAGCAGGATCTGAAAGTCGAAGCCATTGTGTGGCTTGGGCCTATGGCCGACTGGGAGGTATTTGAGCCTTGTTTCAACACCGGACATGAAAGCTGCCAATTTGTGGTTGTTGGGACGAAACATGGTCGCGAAGTTGGACTTGATGAATATGAATCCATGGCAGTGGCGAGGAGAACAGACTGCAGTTCTGTGAAAGATGTGAAAGACGCTTGTAAAGCCGGTTGATGAGAGATGCCTTGCCTAGCAGAGTTTTTCGGCAAAAGTTAGGTGAGAATGATAGCTGTTACTCGTCACCATAATCAATATCCTAAACCAGAAAGACCTTTTAGTATAATAACGATGTATCGGAAATATCCATATCTCAATGTGAAGAAGTACACTGCTGTCTCAGTACCCAAGTTAGTGAGTGCTGCTAAGTGGTATGTTGCCCAAATGGTACTATGACATCTGATGATAATAAAGCATTCATTAGATGCCTTATGCTTGTTCAAATGTGTCTGGCATTTCTACCTATCAATTGTGCTGCAATTTACTGTGGTCTACAAACTACCTATAGGTCCATGTATTGGGGACCTTTGGTGTGTGTAGTCACTGGAACAGGTAACCCAAGAACTCTTAGCCCCGAATTCTTTCTGTCCCCACCTCAATAAGAGCGTCATCTCTGAGTCAAAGCACTCATTACCATTGCCAACTACACGGCTCTCATTCTTATCATCGATGAGAGAAAAGACCAAGGAGGGATATTTCAGTAACTCCATATAATTGCATATAGGTAGTTCTCCCGAGAACTGTCGACCTTGATATCCACCTTACTCTATTGTCCTTCAAGTTGCCTCAGGCTCAGTTCTATGCTACGCCGTTTGGTCTCGATCATGAATTCATCACATCCGAAGCGATTCATACCACTGAAGAATGGCAAACATAGCTGTCCTGCCGACACCCCCAAACTTCGGGGAGTGGTCTTTGACATGGATGGCACCCTTTGGTAAGATCTGCACCCACAGTCTCACTCTACTCTTATTTTATGGCACGGAAGTTTCCCGCACATGACCTTGACTCACATATCTTGTACAAACGAATACTTGATGATATTCTTTGCTCCACTATCCGAGGTGGTTGAAAGAGAGGATGGTTCATCTTTTCATTTATACTATTCTCAACATATCAAGAAGAGTTGGCGCAACGAATGTATCGCTAATCTAGTATATAGCGAGCCCCAAACATACATGTTCAAGGAAATGAGAGATGCTTTAGGAATTACAAAAACAACAGATATACTCGAGCACATTGATACTCTGCCGAAATCAGAACAATGGACTGCCCTTGAGTCTATCCGCAATATTGAGCGCGAAGCTATGAAGGCCCAGACCCCTCAACCAGGTCTGATGACTCTAATGGCGTACCTCGACGCCAATGCCATCCCCAAGGCGATATGCACCCGCAACTTTGATGTCCCTGTTCAGAACCTTGTGGACAAGTTTCTTGAAGGCTCTCGCTTTCATCCCATTGTGACGCGAGACTTCCGCCCACCCAAACCTGATCCTGCCGGTATCCTGCACATCGCTAAGAACTGGGGCTTACACGGCGAATCTGGCGAGGGTGACGCCAGTGGTCTTATCATGGTGGGCGACTCCATCGACGACATGACCGCAGGCAGAAAGGCTGGCGCAGCTACTGTATTGCTCGTGAATGATGCAAATCGAGCATTGGCTGAACATGCCCATACTGACCTGGTCATTTCTACGCTGGATGAGCTCGTTGATATCCTTGAACAAGGCTTCGTAGGAAGAGACGTTCCGGAATAGCAAGAAGTTGACGCGAGACCCTGTCAGCTCACAAATGTTAATCACAACTTGTCACACCTCTTTTCGTCCGCGTTTGATCTCACGGTGCCAACTCAACCGCGAATTGATTTAATTTAGGTTTCCTACATGGGGCCGGTTTCTGTACATGACTCCTCCACACTAGAAACAGCAGATAGACTCTCGGGAATCGAGATCAATAGATCTTCGCCTCCTCAAATCTAAACCACGTCCTTGGGTTTTGAAGAAGGTATATGAAGTGATTTAAGTGTAGTGATCTAGCCAGAGACCACCGCAGATTTCAAAACAGTGCGCCGAGATATGCTAAATAATCCTCAGGTTTAGGCTGCTGTCCCAATATTTTCGGCAAGGTTATCTCGGGAGATGCAGCTCCAGGAAACAATTCGAAAAAAAAACAGCCTTAAGATACATTGTATCCAGGGTTAGGCGGCAATCCAAACGTTGCCTGTCTGCGGTTCTCCCTCCGTAGCTCATCGGGAGTCTCTTTTCGAGGTGGCGGAGGGGGAAGAGGTCCGCCTGGCGGTGCTGGTCGAACGGGTAAGCTAAAGGTGGCAGCGTTCGCGCTCACTGGACCAGCGTTGTCAGGATAGCCTGAAACCTTGGGAATGGAATTCGTGGTGACAACCCTGGGTCCAAGTCCGGGGTGTGCTGAAGCTGGTGTGCGTGACGAAGGGTATCCGTTGCGAGGCGGTGATCGGCTCTGGCCAGAGCCATACTGATCACGAGGGGAAATAATACCAGCGCCGCCGATTGGGATCTCGCCAGAAGTGGGAGTGTGAGATCGTTCTTCAGGTTGGGCCGATGCCTGTGTCTGCTGGGACTGGGTGGGCGAGTCACTTGAGCGCAGAAGATCCTGGGTTGCAGGAGAGAGCTGAGGCGCTAGGTGGGATTTTCTATTGTCACGCTCCATCATACCGACAGCCCACTCTCTAAGATCAACTGGTGTACGCTTGGCGGCTTGTACGAAGTGATCACGGTCCTGATAACATTAGCACCTGTCAAAACAAATAAGATTGAAAATCCGTCTTACGAATAGCTCCTGGGGGGTTGGTCGACGTTCGGGCTCCTTGTAAAGACACTTCTGAATCATATCGTCAAGAATGCTAGGGAAAGCATCGCTCTTTGGAAGCTTGGGGGCCGGTTCGTGAACAATCTGTTGAAGCAAATCCAGAATACCCGCGGGAGCGCAATCGCCATCTGAGAGTTGCTCACTGGCAGCAAAAGGAAATTTGCCAATAGCAAGTTCCATGATGCTCAGACCAAAACTCCAGACATCTGACTTGACCGTATACTTCTCACCCTGAATTCTTTCGGGTGCCATGTAAGTGGAAGTACCGACAAAGGTGTCAGCGATAGAATTGACAAGCTCGCCAGAAACACCAAAATCGCAAAGCTTGATCGAACCCCTCGAATTGACGAGAATATTGGATGGCTTGATATCACGATGCATGATGTGGTGCTTGGTGTAAAGGTATGTCAGACCACCAAGAGTCGCTTCTGCGATTTTACCCAGAACATCGACTCGAACGGGGCCAAAAACTCTCGAGACTCGATCAAGGGAACTGGTCCAGGGTCAGCTATCATATCGCCATGGATGTATCATATCGAACTGACCCCACATCCATATATTCCATACACATTATAACATCGTTATTTGGAGTCAAGAAAGCACCGTAGAATGTCACGATGTAGTCAGAATGGCAGCCGTGCATAATCTGGAGTTCTCGGACAATTCGCTTCCGTATTTCTCGCTTCGCTTCCACATGAATAACCTGCCAAATATGTTAACAGGAAACCCCTTAATTCTGTGACACAGGATACAGACCTTGCGAGCCATGACAGTTCCCGTTGTTAGGTGCTTCACTTTGCTGACCGTACCACCGTTACCAGATCCTAACTCCTTGAGAATTTCGAGATCCTCGGGTCTTAGATCCAACTTGTATTCGATACCGATCTCCAACTGTTCATCTTTACCTGCATCTTGGCTTCCGCTGTACTCATGATGGTTGGTTTCGGCGGTTGGTGGGGGTCGAGGGGCAGCCGCTTTGAGTGCAAGTCCTTTGACGTTCTTGCGCTTCATAGAGCGTGGAGCAAATGGGTCGGCCATTCTGGAGAGTAGCGCGCGAAATTCAACTCGGTTGATGAAAGAGGCTCAAAAAACTGAAGGCTCGTTGAGTGCTGCAAAAACCGAAAATTCAATCGGGCTGGTCTTATCGTTTGTGGTGACTGACAACGAGTGGACGGCTTCCGATGCTTAGAATAGAGGAGTCACCGCACCAGGCCGCAAAGAATATCGATCCGGCCGAGCAGTCGTAAGAGTTGCTCGTGGTATTCGAGCTTGAATAGACGCAGGTCAGGTAAAGCGTCTTGTCCTTGCCTGCCGTCGAGACGATGCGAGCGCTGGCAGACGTTGATTTCGGACCGTCACGAGAGGCACTGATTCTTGGCGATAGAATCAAGGACGTCGATGGCGATGATGAAAAAGGACAACAGAGAGAAACCTTTCGACTAGAGTTGATCGTGGTTTATCAGGGGCGTCTATGCAAAGCGTCGCTGAAGATTGGGAATGGGGGATTTGTTCCGGTCTCTTTCACAGCTTCTGGCTGGTTAGGCGCGGACAGTGGAGGGCGGGGTCTAGCCGGCGACAACGTGACGGGAGTGGCTGGAGTTGCGCTCTGAGAGAGTTGGAGGCGCAACAAACCACAAAAGAGAGGCAGAGCTGGCGGTAAGACGAGATGGGGGGAAGAGGGGAACAGGAGAATTTGGCGACGAGATGTGATCACGACTTTTTAAAGCCATGAAGAGTGTAAGGAGTTACAGCAACGGCCTGTCAGATTTGAAATTATGTACCTGAAATCTAGTGGGCCATTCATTCGCCGTAAGGGGACACCATGGAGTACAGACACGGAGACCAGCATCCATTGTCCATTAATACGGAGTAATTATTGTACGTCTCCCTACGAGGCGAGGCCTGAGCCTGAGTCCAACGTCCAGGAGGCGCGATGCCCTGTCTGTCTGGGTACCTTATGTAGGAACCTAGGCTAGGCTGGGATGGCTACTGGCCAGACTCTCGGAACTTGAGACACTTCACGCCTCGAGCTTGGTACAGTTATCGATTCATAATCATGATAAGATGGTGGTCGTCGGTTGTTTGTGATAAGTCTTTAGTCCAGACTAATACGACATAATTTCTTACTCAGCTCAGGTTCTGAACCTATAAAGCATCTCTCAAATGATTTAGATCAGTCACAATATCACTCGCCCTGGATACCATAGAAGTCCACAAAGCTCTGACATTGTAGTCTGACGACAGCATGTATCCAAACCCGATTATAGGCGAACCTTCAATATCTCACAGAGAGTTTGCAATGGTCTGATCTTAAGACGGGGAAAATACCTACCCCACAGGATATTCATAGAGACATTAAGGAAGAATCAAAAAGTGATTAAAACAGGAGCCTCATGGTATGGGATACAAAAGTAATCGAAGCATGAGAACAGGCGATGGATCAGACACCGGGCGATTCAAACATGTTTAAACAACACTTGGACCACTAGCCAGCACAGTACAGTCAGGGGTAAGTTCGAATGGCATACATGCGGACATACCTCCAAGCCTCATGGTTGGTCAAAGTATGCCAAAAGAAATATGATAATGCTATTGATGGTCAAAATATTTGCGGTCAATGGAGCTGTATCCGAGTTCCTTACCTGAGGTACGGAGGAGGTACATAGTAGGAGTACCTACTAAGGTACCTTAGTAGGTTGGTACTAGTTGGCGGTTCCATGGATGCTGTTCAATCAGCCGCTTGTCGGAAACGGATTATCATGTCACCGCTCTGTCCTTGCCAGGCGCGACAAGGCTGCACGTGTAGCTCTGCAGCGCATCGCCAAAAAATCCTAAATACCCAAAGCTTTCCAACAACAGCACAAATAATAATTCCCTTTTCTTGTCATCTTCTTTTATCTATAACGAAAAGCCCGAGACCCCAAACACTCGTTCTTTCGGAATTTTCTCTCGAATCACCGACATCTTCAGCAGACAAAGAAAGCTTTGTTGCCTGCTTGGCAGCATCGCAAGTCGCCAAGATGAGTAACAGTATGCGCGACCTGATATCCGGCGAGGCCGAACTTGATGACGAGGAAGAGGACGAGTCTTTTGATGAAGGCGGTGAGGAGCGCAGACGAAAGGCTGCCGTAGAAGACTCTAGTGAGGAGGAAGAAGATGACGACGATGAGGAAGAGGCTCGCAAGGTCCGTATTGCCATAAACTATGCGCAGCGACACGCTCCCTAACTCCTAACTCTCAGGTCCGTGAAGGCTTTATTGTTGACGAGGACGAGGACGAGGAAGAAGGCGGCGAATCAGATGGCGATGTGCGCCCTGTTCACAAACGAAAGCGAAAACATCGCGACCGTGAAGAGGAGGCGCAGCTTGATGAAGAAGATCTGGATCTCATCGGCGAGCAATTCGGCGAGCGTCCCAAGCCCCAAACACAGGTAATTTTTCCCTTGCGCTACTTAAACTACCATGACTTAAGTAGCACCCCCCTGACTTCGTCTTTAGTCCAAGTTCAAGCGCCTCAAGCGTGGCTACCGCGACGAAGAAAGGGGAAACCAACGCCGTGGACTAGACGATATCTTCTCGGACGAGGATGAAGACGCAAGCGAGCAGCGACCTTACGGCAGATCGTACCGCCAAGCCGACGAGTTCGACGATTTCATCGAAGAGGATTTCCCCGAAGACCCTGAGGAATTAGAACAACAGCGAGAAGATGCGGAGGTTGCTCGCCCCAGAGATCGCGTCATTGGAAATATCGCCGATACTGGTAATCTCGATAAGGATGCCTTGGACGATATGGAGGCCATCTTCGGTAATGGCGAAGACTACGATTGGGCGCTGCAAATGGAGGAGGAGGAGGAAGATCGTGAAAGAGAGGAACAAGCCATTGAGCTGAAGGACGTGTTCGAACCTTCACAACT